TAAGGACCTTTCATCACCCTGACACCCTGACTGGCATATGACAGAGGGTGGCTGGCCTTTTTTCTCTCTTTGCCTCAATTTCCCCATCCTGTCCCCGTGGGCACACAATTCCTGGCAGAAGGGAAGGGAACCAGATGTTATCCATGTGGGCTGCTTTGAGTTCTCAGGGCCTACAAAAGGCTATTATTATTTAATTACTGCAAATGGTAATTATAAGGGAAGGTAATTGTCTGCCCTTTCATTATGGCACTTTTGCCCTTTTCCTCTGGCAGCCCCAGGCCAGTCGTAAAAGACAACTGGGTCCAGATTTGCTGTAAAGCCCCCTCACTGGAGGATTGTTGAGAGCCGTGGGGGTTGGGGGGAGCTGTAAATAGTTGCTGCCGTCATTTTCTGAAGGTGATTTGTGGATAATACAGCCTTTCCATACCCACAGACTCCTTAGATCCTATAGGAAATGGGGAATTAACACTCCCTGAGAAGTGGCCAGGTCCTGGGCACTGTGCCTTCCCTAAGTGAGATCATGCCCATAAAAAGCCCAGCAAGATGCCTCACTTCGAGCGAATGCTTGGTAAATGGTTGTGTATATAGTCTCTAATCCCCACACACTGCCCTGTGAAATAAGGATTATTATTCTCCTTTTTTAAATGAGAAGACTTGAGATGCCCTCAGGTCCTCTAGCTAGTGAGAGTGAGTATTTGAAATGTGTGTGCCCGATCTGAAAGCACTCACACTTTTCACCTACAACTTGCCACAGATACTACTGGCCCATTTCACAGCTGAAGAAATGGAGGCCCAGCCTTGTAAGGTGGCTTGCTTCAGCTCATTGAGGGATTTGACAGAGTCAGGATCTGGATCCACATGTCCTGCCCTGCCGAGCTGGGGCTCAGACTTGCTGCCAGCTCTGCTGTACCCCCTACACTTCCCCTGTCACCTGGCCACATCCCACAAGCCCCAGCTCACAACTAATGGTAGAGACACAAATGATGAGTAAGATATAGTCTTCACCCACTTGCTGAGCAAATGCTAAGCCGAATGGTAGATCTGGGGGCTCTAGCATGAGGCTGGTCTAGGTGACCGGCTGTCACTGCCCATGATGGACATTGCTAATCAGTCACAACATTCTCCGTGTTGAGAGCCCAGATTTTGAGTCTTTTGAGATTTAAATAAAATTTTGCTAGAATTGTCTCCCTTACATTTTGTGGAAATCTGATGATGTCCCCAAGATTTCTTCAAGTTCCAGTGACTTATGAAGTTCTGGTCACTTACTGCTCCTTCTACTTCCAGGGCACCTTCAGTGTCTCCTCTGCCGGTCTGTCCTCTCTGCTCAGGGCCAATCTGGGCATCCCAGTCCCAGGGAAACATCCATCACACAGCTCATTTTACTGAAGGTTTGAGGAAACCAAGTTGGGGGGGATGGTGTCATGGCAACGCAAAGGGCAGAGAGTTGAGTAATAATATCTGTTTGACAAGTTCTGCAGCCGCCTGTCCCCTGGCAGCCCTCTCCTTCAGCTAACCCGTGTCACTGATCACCTCCACATTTCAGGACAATGCTCACATATTTCAGCTTGTTTGCTTTTGGAGCCCCCTCACCTTCAAAAATTCAACCCTTATCATTTTTTTTGTATTCGGGTGAATGAATCAACAAAGAAGTATTGAGCTTACAGTCTGATGTCAAATCACAAGATTAGAAATCTGAATGCAGGGAGCGCCTGGGTGGCTCAAAGGGTTAAGCCTCTGCCTTCAGCTCAGGTCATGATCTCAGGGTCCTGGGATCGAGTCCCGCATCGGGCTTTCTGCTCAGCAGGGAGCCTGCTCCCCCCGTCCCCCACCGCCCTGCTTGCCTCTCTCCCTACTTGTGATCTCTCTCTCCGAATCAAATAAATAAAATCTTAAAAAAAAAAAAAGAAATCTGAATGCAGAATTACAGCTGGGATAAGTGTACCAAAAAGGGAGACGTCCATGGGGTTATGAGGGCATCCTGGAGATAACTGAAGGCCACCCTCAGCATGTGGCTATGAGCCATAGTGTGCTGGGTGAGTAGGCGTCCATTAGGTGAGGGGGGACACGGTGGGTGTGGTTAGGTGGGGAGCACCTGCTAAGAGAAGGGTACTGCAAAGGCCGTGTGACAACAGGAATGAGAATGCCTTCCACGAGCTCACAAGAGGCCTGCATGGCCTCTTGTGCACAGTGGCCAAGGGCGAAAGTAGTCCTGATTGAGCATGGAGGCTTTTGGAGCGGTCAGACTGTGAACAGACACACTTGGGGACCACAGTCACTGTCATTTCATCATGTAGAGCAATTTAGGTCTCCATCTCTCTCTCAGCTCCTGGACAATGTTGGTGTATCTGAACCTTCATTAATAGCTCTGCTCATTAATAACCTCCAAATACTCCGAGTCTCTCTGGAGGGAGCAGAAGTTTTTCCTTCCCCATTCCACATCCTCCCACCCCAAATGGAATGGACGGCACAGAGAAATGTGGCTTCACAAAAGTGTGAGTTATAATACGACCTTAACAAGGCGGAGGGGCCAGTTTGGGATTTAAACAACCCTTTTCCTCATACCTTGGACAGTACAGACTGAAGGTCTTGAGAAGTGTGGGCTCGTGTTCTCAGGGAAGATTTCCCAGGGGACGTGGGGTCAGGGTGGGTCCCCAATGTACAGGTAGCCACAATGCCATGGTCTCACCCGTGATCTCCCATATACTTGGCCCGTGAAGTAGGTGTCATCACGCTGTTTGCACAGGAGAAAAGAGAGGCTCCGAGAGAGGAAGAAACTTGCCTGAAATTAGCAGCTGGTAAGTGACAAGCCGAGGTTCAACCCTGCTCCGACTGGACTCCAGAACCTAACCTATAGTCTCAAACTCCATGGCCTCCTGAGGGGAGCAAAATGAACAAAGCTGGAGAAGGTGAATAGGCACAGAGCTCACATACTTACTCATTCAGTCTCTCAGCTAACAGCCCATAGCGCTCACCATGCACAGGGGCTCTGGACCCTGGGTTGGAAGATCCCAGCCTAGGCCAGGCCTTAAGACCTAGCCAACGATTTTCCTTCCCGTGCCTCAGTTTTTCCCCCTGTGAAATGGGGGATAACATCCCTGTTGGCCTCCCAGGGCTCCTATTAGAAAGTGCTTGTGTTGATGTTTGAGGTTGGTTTAGTTTTGATGGGAGGTATACCCCGCGGGGAGGATGAGGAGGTGATTAGCTTGAGTAGAGGGCAAAGAGAGAAAGATGGAAATCTCTTGGCCTTAAGGTCCCACTGTGAGCAAGCTGGGAATGTAATGTTAGGAAACCTGCCTTGTGCTTCGCGTGACAGGAGTTACGGGGCCCAGGAGTTGCCTGGACATCCCCTGCTTTGTAACTCCCTACATCAGCCACCAAGTCCTTAACACGTCCCACACTTGTCCACTTCTTTCGACTTCTGCGAAGGCCACCACCACTGTTTACCTGGGAGACCCTGAAAGTCTCCCTGCTGGCCTCCCTGCTATTCTGCTTTGCCCATTCCAGCCCATTCTTTCCCCAGCAGCCACATGAACGCTTTGAAATGAAATGTGATCACATCACCTGTCTGCCTAATGCCTGTCTCCTCATGACTTCCTCTTGTTCTCAAGCTAAATCCTTGCCAAGGAGCCCCTGGGACGTCCAGCCCAGAGGGTCACTTCACAAGTCCCCCCTATTTCAATTCCGTTCCATGGTCCTTTATGGCCCTTCAATACAGCCCCACAACCTCCACACACAGTTCTCTCCACCAGAAATGCTCTTGTCCCATCTCTTCCCTGGTCTGGGCTTCCGCGTCCTTTCCTCTGAGAAGCTCCCTGCCCATCTTCTCTGACCCACTCCCCAGACATCTCAAAGCTCTTTTTTGCAGTTCTTGTGAGACAATTATCTGAGTGCCTATTTGTTAAATTCTGCCTCCTGAAATTAACACCCACTTCTCTTCTCCTTTCAGAGAATGCTGCCCTTCCCCGCCTCCCTTGGGGTTGGGCAGGACCACGTGACTCGTCTTGGCCAATAGTGAGGAGAGGCGGTGCGCGTTCCCCATCCCCGCTGAAGCGGCCTAATACAGTGCCAGGATTTTGCAGCCTCCGTTCTGCGGTGGGAACTTAAAAGGGCATGCATTTCCTTCGGTGGGTGCAGCTTCAAGATGGTAGGAACTCCTCAGCCAAGCTCTCTGAGCCACTAGAGTAGAGGACCCAGGATGGGCATGTGGCACAAGAGAGAAAGAAACGGTAAGACTCTCGTGTTACGTCTCTGAGGTTCCAGAGTTCTTTGTTTCTGCAGCAGAATCTGGTTTATGTTGACTAATTCACAGTCCTAACATGCTTCATCAGAGTGGGGCCTGGATCTAATTCACTGCCTCTCCGGTGTCTGTGACGCAAAAGATGTGCTTTGTAAATACTTGTTGAATGAGTGAATGAGTGAAAACACAGAACATGGAAGACATGGTTTCTTCCTCAAAGAATTTATTTTCATCCGAGGGACAGATACTTATACATACAACAGTTAGAGTATAACCAGGGGCTAAACTGTAGAAGTTAAAGAAGATGGAGGGAGCTTATTGGTTGGAGCAGTCACGGAGGGCTTCCTGGAAAAGAATGAGGACTTGAAGAACTGGAGAGGATGAGTGCAGACTTGTAGTCTACACCATCATTTGTCCATCCATTCAGCAAACATTTACTCTAATGCATCATGATATGTGCTTTGCCAGCAGTATGGCCAGAGGACCATGGTGTTTTGGGAACCTGTGGAAAGTGCCTCTTTCCGTGTAGAGGATCTAAAACAGCTTCAGGGAGGAAGTGATGTTTGAGCCAAGCCTTGACAAGTGGGCGTTCTACAGAGACTTAAGAGATGGGGAGAAAAGGACCGAAGGTCCCAGGCAGACGTGAATAGCAGCATGTGCAAAGTCCTTAGAAGGGAGATGGCCAGGTCCATGATGGCACCCCACCTTGATTGGCTGGAGCATAGCTTTCCAGGTGGTAAGACAAAAGGTTAGTGAGGCAGAGATGGACCACACTGTGGTACCTTCTGCCCATAATCCCTTATAAAGACCCCAGCTCAGCAATCAAAGCCTTCAGGATTCTGTCTCCCATCACCCTCTCCACTCTAAACTCCAGTGCTTTTACATGTGTTATTCCAAGCACCTATAATTACAGTGATGGTGATAGTAGTAACATAATAACATTTGTTGGGCCCTTAGAATGTGCTAGATGCTGGGTCAAGCATCATTTCATTGTACAACAACATCAACAATGATGTGGGTTAGTACACTTTTTTAGGATTTTTTTTCTTAGTAGTAGACTTTATTGGAACAGTTTTAGATTGACAGAAAAATGGAGCAGATACTACAAAGAATCCCCAAATATCCCTCCCCCAGTTTTCCCTATTGGTAACATCTTAAGTTAGTGCATTTGTTATATTTTGTTATAATTACTGATGAATATTTTATTGATGCATTATTATTAACTAACATCTGTAGTTTATTAAGATTTCCTAATCTTAATTAAGACCTAATGTCTTTTTTTTCCAAGATCCTACTAGGCTACCACAGTATATTTAGCTGTTCTGTCTCTGTAGGCTCCTCTGGGCTTTCACAGGGTCTCAGACTTACTTTGTGATGACCTCGACAGTTTTGATGAGTATTGGTTGAGCATTCTTTAAGTTGTTCCACCATATGAGTTGGTCTGATGTTTTTCTCATACCAAGACTGGTGTTGTAGGTTATTGGGAGAAAGACCGTAAAGGTAAAGTGCCACTTTTATCACATAATATCAGTTCACATAATATCAATATCACATAATATCAGGTACCTACTGAAAACATGGTTTGACTGTTGGTGTTAGCCTTGATCCCCCAGCAGAGGTAGTAGCTGTCAGGTTTTCCCCCTGTGAAGTTACTCTTTTTGCCTTCCCTTTCTGTACTGTACACTTTGGAAGAAAGTCATTAGGCACAGCCCATGCCTAAAGAGCCTAGAGTTTGCTCCCCCTCCTTGAATATCTCCATAAATTATTTTGAATTCTTTTGCAAGAAAGATTTGTCTCCTTTCCCATTTATTTTTATCTCACTAAGCTCCTCAACAGGGGGTTAATACTTTTACCATCCCCTAGAAACTGGAGGGGAAACTTCCTCACCTGGCTCACCCCAGATCCAATTTCCGAAGCCCTTCTCCACCCCAGAGAAGAGTGGCCTCCTCTGTGTCCTCCCCACTGCTCCCCTCCCTGCCCCTTCTTGTACTTTGTAATCCCAACTAATTCCGGCCACACTACGATTTGTGCCCTGCTCTGTGCTGGCGCTGTGCTTGGGACTTGAAAGCAAATGGCTTAAGTAGGCCTTTTCTTCCAGTTGCTCGCAGTCTGGACGTCCTGTGGGAGACTGGACTCCCCTTGGGGGCAGGAACTTCGCGCAACTTGTTCATAGCTGGGTTTTCAGCCAATCAGCACAGCGTGGGATCATAGGTCCTCAATCACTATTTACCCAATTGGGGAATGCTTCCGGGAGGACCAGCAAACACTGGCAGGTGATTCTGTGTGTGCCTGTGTGTGTGTGTGTGTGTGTGTGTGTGTGTGTCCTTCCCTGGGGACTGGGAACTCCCTGAGGGTAAGGCCAGCCTGGATTCTTCTGGCCTAGAGGCTGGGTGGCAGTGAGTGTCACAGAAGTCTGAGTCGGTGAAAGGACCCAGGGCCGGGCCGTCTCCTCAGGTAGAAGTGAAGTTTGGAAGCGGACACAGCCCAGGAGGCCGAAACCGAAGGACTTGGTGACTGATTGGCTGGGGAGGGTGAGGCGGGAGGAGGAGTCACACGCAGATGGCTCTGAGGTCTGGAGCTGGGGGACAGCCGGTGCCACCTCTGATAGACTCTGCGAGAGGAGCCGCTGACAGCCTTAGGCGGCTCCACCCTTTAGGGGCTCGGGCCTAGGGCCAGGGACGCCCGGAGCCTACAGAGGGAGGGGTGGCCTTGCCAGTACAAACTTCTGCCCCCATTCCATGTCTTCGCCTTAACAACAACAAAAAAATCTCAGCCTGGATTTTGAGCACGGTCGTTGGTTACCAGGTGTGGGAACCCATTCCGGGGGTCCCCTCCTGCCTGCCGACTGCGCAGGAGAACCCCCCCACACCAAGGGCAGCCTGGTCCCGCCGGACCCGGGTCCCCAGCCCGCCATCGCCGCGGGGAGGGGGCGGCGAGGCGGCGGCCGGGCCTGGGCGGGACAATGGCCGCGGCCGCCGGGGCCCCGGGAGCCCCCGCGCTGGGGAAGGGGCTGGCCTAGGGCCCGGCGCCGGTGCCCTCCCCGCGCGGCTCGGGCGGGCGGAGGGGGCCGAGGAGTTCCTTTGTGGCTCTGCCTCGGGCGCGGCGAGGGCGGGGGGCGCGGCGCAACTTTGCCAGGCGGCGGCGGCGAGCGCGAGACGAGGCCCCGGGGCCCAAGTGGGGCCCCCAGCGCGCGGCCCGCCCCCGCCCCCCGCCCCGCGCCCGGCCCCCTCCCCGCGCCCGGCCCCCTCCCCTCGCGCGCCGTCGCCCGCGCCCGGCGCTGCCCACTCGCGGGAGCCCCCGGGGCCGGACGGGCTGCGCAGCCGGAGAGGCGGGGGCCCGACGCGGCCCCCCCTCCCCCCCGGAGCCGGGCGCCTGGCGCGGGGGCTCGCCGAGCGCACGGGGGGCCGCGCGGCGCTGCAGACCCAGCCTCCCGCCGCCGCCGCCGCCGCCGCCGCCGCCTCGGCGCTTGCAGAACCCAGAAGTGAACAGCAGGCGACCCGGAAGGTTTGCGCGCGGCTCCGCACCGAGCCGGAGCCCGAGCCGGAGCCCGGAGCCGGAGCCCCAGCCCGGCCCTGCAAGGGCCGCCGGGCGCGGGGCTGCGGCCGCGTCCCGGAGCCGCCGCCAGCACAGCCAGGTCCGTGCGGGCCCGGGGCGCGCGGGGAGCGGGCCCGGCGGCGGCGGCGGGCGCCCGCCCGAGCGCCCGCCCGCGGGAAAGTTGCGCCGAGTTTCGGGCGGGGGCGCGGGCCGGGCGCGGGCGCTGTCAGCGCGGGCCGGGGCGCTCCGAGGGCCCGGGGCCGCCTGCGCCTCGGGCCCGGCCCGGAGCAGCTGCGGCGGCGGCGGCGGCGGCGGCGGCGACGGCGCGCGGGTAGGAAGTGTCTCCGGCGGCGTGTCTAGGTCTGCTCTCCGAGTGTGTGCGTGTGCGTGTGTGTGTGTGTCTGTGTGCGTGTGTGTGTCTCTGTGTGTGTTTTCTTAAGCCGGGCTATTCAAACCTGCTGCAATTCTCCGGTAAACAATGATTCATGGGGCTTAATGCAAATAAACGGATTGCAAACGGCGCGGTTCGCGCACTTTGCAGCCGGCCCGGTGGAGCGGCCAGTGCCGGATTTCTCCCCTTTTTTGCAGATCTGCAGAATATGGCGTCCCTGTCCTGTTTTAAAAATAAGCCAGGCTGCCATTTTTGTTTTTCTTTTGTCTGAAAATTTTAATAAAACTGTCTGAGAATGTGGGAGAGGCGGCTGGAAGCAGAGGGGGCACCCGAAGGGTTGGCTTTTTTTCCTTTTCTTTGGCGAGAGCCGCGAGCCTTTCGGGGAGGTGAGACACAATGCAATTGCACTTTAAAGAAAAAAAAAAAAAAAGGAAGCCGCTGGGTGATTTGGGGAGGAAGGTTGGGAATTTAAAGTTAACTCCAAAAGTTTTCTTTTCTTTTTTTTTTAAAGCTCTTCTTTTTTTCTTTTTTCTTTTTCTTTTTTTCTTTTTTTCTTTTTTTTTGGAAGGCGGTGAAATGCCGCGAAAGGATCTCGGGGCCCATTTCTCCCCCCAGCCAGCCGCCTTTGCAGGATTTTTGGGAAAAAGTTAACTGCCGGTTTCCTCAGAGCTGCGGGGGGCACGTGGAGGGCTGGCGATGGGGACTTGGGGGGACCAGGAAATGTCTTTTGGAAAAGGCTCTATAAAAATGGCATTGTAAGGAAATAGATCCTCAGATTTGGGAGAGAGGGCTGGCAGTAGGGGCTCTGAGCGGGCCCATGGTTTTCAGCTCAGACCCCGGGCATGAGGAAATAATTCTGCTCTCCCCTGCCCTGCCCTGGAGCAGTGTGTGTGTGGGGAGGGGGGGGTGCTGTTTCCTTCATGGGTGGCCGGGGTGGGGGGGTGGCCCCTGTAGGCGGGAATCATGCCCTGGGCCTTGGGGTGGCTTCTGGAGCCCTCCGGCAAATGTGTGTGTGTGTTTGGCAGTTGGCAGTTGGAGAGCCCCTTCTTTGATCTGATGGGCCTCCTGGCCTCTGGAGGTGGCATCTGGTGGCAGATGCCCCTGGGTGGTGGGCTTTTGTAAGGGTTCAGGCTGGGGGCCCCAGTGGGTCTTGTCTGAGGGGAGGGGGGAAGAGAAGGTTAGGGGGAGGGCTCGGGTTTGCTAGTCTGAGCCTCTCCCTAGTGGTGCCCTTCTACCCTTTTCTACTACTCCTGCCCGAACCCTGAAGGCTCCTCTGTTGGAGGCAGTTTGTACTTGGGTGAAGTTATTGAAGTATCTTGTGGACGGGTCAGAGCCTGCTGGCTTTGAAGGCTGCAGGAGGGTCTTAAGACCAGGCCCAAAGGTCTGGAGTGGCAGGCGCTGTCCAAGGAACCAGGCAGGTTGGGCCTAGTCTTTACCTCTTTGGGAAGGTTTGTCCTGGGAGGACCCTGAGCCCTTCTAGCCCCTGTCCCAGCATCTCCTGGAACGGAGACCCTCTTGTCTCACTCCTGGTTTATATCCTGGCTCCAAAGGACAATGTGAGCTTCCTGAGAGCAGAGTCAGGGATTGAAGGGTGGGCTTTAAGGGTTCAGGGCTGCAGAACTTGGCATGCCTGGGCCAGAGGGTACCAAGCTAGGTATTTTTCAGATGCAGAAACAGGTCCAGAGAGGGGAAGTGATTTGCCTAAAGTCACACTGCTCGTTAGAAGGAGAGCTAAGCTAGGGACTCTGATGTTCAGACTCCCACTTCTGGGCTCTCTCCACTGTTCTCTGTGGAGGCCCTGACTCCTAGAAGAGTCTTTCTGGACAGAAGTGGACTGGAATGGGATAGCATGTCCCCCTTTACTGCTCCCACCCTGGCCAGCATAATCCTTCCTTGTGAATGGAATACAGTTTGCCTATTGGAGTGCATGCTTATTACCCCATCAGCCTCCCCCAGAAACTTGCTTGTGGTGAAATTGTTGAGGTGGGGATATTTAACCCCATTTCAAAATTTAGGAAACTGAGGTTTGGAGAGGTTGAGCAGTGGCAGAGGAAGACTTAAACACAAGCCCCCCAACTCCTTATCCAGGCCTTTCTCTAGGTGGACTTTGATGCTTGTAAATAGGGCTTTTCCCCACCTTCTGGTGTTTGGTCTCTCTAATTCTTTTGCTGACCCAGGCACTGTGTAAAAATCTAGAGGCCGCAACCCTGTAGAATGTCTGAACTGAAAAGGCCCTGAGAGGTCATCTGGGCTCAGAGAGGGGAAGCCACTGGCTTGAAGTCACCCAGCAGTTTGGGTCCCAGCTAGGACCAGAGCCCTGGTCTCCTGTGTCCCTTCCTCTACAAGAAACTCAGAGGTCTGAGAGTGAACCACTCTGCCCTCTGCTAGGCTCCACTGGACCCTGGGGAGCAGTGATTGCTGCTGCTGTTGGTGATTGGTGATGGGTTAGTGGGTGCTACAGCGGCCAACACCTCACAGAGACATGAGTTTGTCTGAGATGCTGAGAAATAGGCTATCTGCGGGCTTGGGATATGGAGGCAAGATGGCCCTAGGTGGAGAGGAAGCTGGTGTGTGGGTGAGGTCTGAAGCCGGCCTGGCCCATCCTTCTCTGGGCAGACACTTCCTTGCCCTGCCTCTCTGTAAAGCAGAGTCCTTCCCCCACCCCTTTTTTTCCTTCCTTCCGTCCTTCCTTCCTTCCTTCCTTCCTCCCTTTCTTCTTCTAACTAGCCATCAGTTATTCATTCATTGGCTTTCTAGATCATCCCCTTATTCTTTTCATTATCCATTTGTTAGTTTAGTGGTTAGCCATTTCAGTCATCCATCCCTCTGTCCTTCCATCCATCCAGTGTCCAGCTCACCCAGCACGGGCTGGACAGCCACGGGAGATAAAAGGACAGTCCTCCTGGGCTCTGAAGCCAGCAGGGAAAAAGACTGCAGGTAGGAGGAGCACAGCCAGGGCAGTATTTGTGGGTACGTGCATGTGTCACAGGGGAGGTCTCTTGGTTTGAAAATACTAGAGAGTTAGTTCCACAGATGGTCATGGTGGTAGATCTGGGTCCCGGGACCAAGTCGCATTTGTGGATCGGACTTCACAGTTTGCACCGGGTGGTACATGGCTTATATCACTTTGGGCACGTTCTTCCCTTTTTTGAACCTCAGTTTCTTGATCTTTAAAATGGGTACACTGCAAATCTCTTGTGGGCTTGGGGGGTTGATAACAAGAGTACGTGGGATAACAAGAGCCCTGGCCAGGCTTATGGTAGGAGCTCAGAATATACCAACTGAACGATAAGGAATGTTGGTCACCGCCCCAGCCCCCATCTTGAGTTTTGAAAACCATCATGATATTTTCAGGGTGAGCCAAGTGATCCGGACACCCAGGAAGCCCTGCCCTTGCTTGATATTCCCCTGCTAAAATTCTTCAGATGTTTCCAGGGCATTTCGAGGAACAAAAACCCAAAGTCCTTTGCGGAGCCTACAGGGACCCCTCATGGTCCAGCTGGGCCTACCCGCCCCTCCACTCCCCTGACTATGCCCCCAGGCTCACCCCCTCCAGCAGCCGCTTTCTGCACCTTGAATGTATGGATTGTTGGGGGGGCCCTTGCATATCCCCCACCTGGAGCTCTCTCTCCCTAGATGTGTGCATGGCTAGCACGTTCTTGTTTCACCGGTTTCCACTCAGGGCGCCTCCACCGGGGGTGGGAGGGGCTTCCCTGACCACTTGCCCTGGGATAGCTTCCCACTCTTGTGACCCAGTCACGTCAGTGCCCTTTCTACTTTGCCTTGCGGCTCTTATCGGTATCCGGAGCTTTCTTATCGATTTGTTTCTTTGCGTTTCGTGCCTGTCTACACTGCTGAACCTGCTTCCACTTCATGTGGGCGAGTGGGCAGGTGGTTCCGGCTCCGCCTGGCGAGGGCTTTTGGGGAGCTGGGTTGGCACTGACCCTGGCTGCAGGGCAGTGCCTGAGAGATGAAAGGACCGTGAGCTCTGTCCGCTCCTCCCCCGGGAGGCTCTTGTTAGGAAATAACGAGATGATTAAATCATGGCCTCTAAGAATCACAATCCTTCCAATCTCAGACCCTTAGCATCTGAAGAGCTTTCTACCTCAGGACCTTTGACGCTTGGAGTCTTCGTGTGGTCTGATCTGGGATTTAGAAGCTTGCAGACGGGATCAGCACCGAGTACTTTGTGTCAGGCCATGTTCCAAAAGACTTTATAAACGTTAACATACTGAATTCTCATTATTTTCATCCCTCCTCCATTTTACAGATGAGGAAATTGAGGCACAGAGGGATTAGGTAACTTGCCTCAGTTCACAGAGCTCATCAGGGGCATTGCAGGACTCGAACCTGGCACTCTGGGACTCCTTCTTAGAATCCCACAGCCGCAGAGGGGAAGTCCAACCTCAACCAACTCCTGCAGAGAGAAGGAATCCCCTTCCCACATCCTTGACAAAAGGGCCTCTGATCTCAGCCAGGGTGGTGGGGAGTTCCCTCCTCCCCATGCTCCCCGCCTGTCTTCTTGTCAGACAGTTGTCATTTTCGGAAAGATTTTCTTCACAAAGTGTAAAGTGCCGCACTTGCCCTGTGAATAACATTTAGGGAATGATGTTCGTAGATTCCCGGTGCTTTTGACCTTGTGGTTTCATGGCTTCCATAGCCTTTTTCTCCCCACTGGGTCGTGAGCCGCTCGAAGGGCAGGCGGCCTTGATGCGTGGCGGCGAACGTGTGAGTCAGTCAGTGAATGTGTGTGTCCAGAGCACGCGCCGCACGCTCCTCCATCCCCGGAGCCCTGTGCTGGGTGCTCGCTCGGTGCTGGAGCACTTGGAGACAGAGGACCATTCTCCCTCCGTGGAGCCCCGGGAAAGCCTGTCTCTGTTGGTAGGGCTCAGAGACTATCTAGGCAAACCTCACTCTGTCCACTGGGGGAATGAAGCAGGAGGGGAGAGGAGCAGGGCTTGTCCAAGGC